AATCGCCCATGGAGTCTCCCGTCTTCTTTGTGAAGAAGAAAGATGGCACCTTACGGTTTGTACAAGATTACCGAGCGCTAAACGCGATGACAGTGAAGAACCGCTACCCGCTCCCCCTGATCAATGATCTCATCAACAAGCTCAAGGGAGCTCGGTTCTTCACCAAACTCGACGTTCGCTGGGGCTTCAACAACGTGCGCATTCGTCAAGGCGACGAGTGGAAGGCAGCGTTTCGGACAAACCGCGGGCTCTTTGAGCCGTTGGTGATGTATTTCGGCTTGACCAACTCCCCCGCAACGTTCCAGACGATGATGAATGACATACTTCAGGACCTCATCCTCTCTGGCGACGTTATGGTGTACCTCGACGACATTCTCATCGCACATTCCGATATCCACCGTCACCGGGAAATCGTGAACGAAGTCCTCCGACGTCTCCGCGAGAACAAGCTCTACCTTTGCGCGGAGAAATGCGAGTTCGAGATGCCGTCGATCGAATACCTTGGGGTGATCATTTCCCACAACCATGTGGAGATGGACCCGGTCAAGGTCGCAGGTGTGGCGGAGTGGCCAGCTCCGGCTAACAAGAAGGAAGTGCAGCAGTTCCTCGGCTTCACTAACTTCTACCGGAGGTTCATCAGGGATTTTTCGCACGTTGCCCGTCCTCTCTTTGACCTCACCAAGAAGGACGTGGCATGGACTTGGGGCGCCAACGAGGCAGCTGCGTTTCTTGCGCTGAAGAACGCTGTTACCTCTACCCCAGTCCTGCAGCTCCCGGATGCTTCCAGGTCTTACCGCCTCGAAGCAGACAGTTCGGACTTCGCGACCGGTGCCGTCATCTCGCAGCAGTCCCCCGTGGATGACAAGTGGCATCCGGTTGCCTTCTTCTCGAAGAGTCTTAACGAGGTCCAGCGGAACTACGAAATCCACGACAAGGAGATGCTCGCCATCGTCCGCGCCTTGGAGGAGTGGCGACACTTCCTCGAGGGCGCCGAGCACCCCGTTGAGATCTGGACCGACCACAAAAATCTGGAGTACTTCCGGAAGGCCCAGAATCTCAACCGTCGTCAAGCCCGCTGGTCCCTCTATCTGTCTCGCTTCGACTTCACCCTGCACCACCAACCTGGCCGCCTCATGGGCCGCCCGGATGCTCTCTCGCGCCGCCCCGACCACGGAGTCGCTTCGGACAACGCAGACGTCACACTGCTGCGCCTGGAGCTGTTCCATGTCCGGGCCTTAGAGGGTCTTACTGTCTCTGGACCCGAGGCCCCTCTCCTGCGCGACATCCGGGAGGCCCTCGCCGGTACCCCCGACATGGAGGAGCCCATTGTTTTGGCAGCACGTGAGCTCCTCAAGGAACGTTCGCTCTGCTCGGGCTGCGGAGTGGCGAAAAGAAGGCGGCCTGCTCTACTTCCGTGGCAAGCTGGTGGTTCCACGCAACAACGACCTCCGCCGACGCATCCTCGAGCAGCACCACGACACCCGCGTCGCAGGGCATGCCGGCCGCTTCAAGACATTGGAGCTGATCTCTCGGAACTACTGGTGGCCCCAGTTGTCTCGACACGTCGGCCGGTATGTGGCCACCTGCGACCTGTGCTGCCGAACCAAGGCGCTCCGCCAACTCCCAATCGGGGAACTCCATCCCACGGAGGTCCCTTCGGAGCGCTGGGAAGCGGTGTCGGTTGACTTCATTGTGCATCTGCCAGACGCTCACGGGTATGATGCTATCATGGTCGTTGTTGACATGCTTGGGAAGCGCAGCCACTTTATAGAGTGCCATACCCGGCTCTCCGGTGAAGGTGCCGCCAGGCTTTTCTACAAGAACGTCTGGCGCCACCATGGGCTGCCGTCTAAGTATGTCTCTGACCGCGGCTCCCAGTTCATAGCAGAGTTCACGCAGGAGCTGTGGAAACTCGTCGGGGTCTCATCGGCAATGTCTACCGCTTGGCATCCACAGACGGACGGCCAGACCGAGCGTGTGAACCAGGAGCTCGAGCAGTTCCTCCGGATCTTCACCAACTACAACCAGGACGATTGGGACGAGCTGCTTCCCGCTGCAGAGTTTGCCTACAACAACCATATTCACTCATCCACGCAGCAGGTCCCGTTCATGACAGATACCGGTCAACTCCCTCGTATGGGCTTCGAACCGAATGGACTACGCTCAGCTGTGAACAAGTTGGCAAACGACTTCCGCGACCGCATCGCATCTGGAGTGGCAGAAGCCAAGTCGGCACTGGTGAAGGCAAAGGATGAGTACAAGCAGTACTATGACCGCCGGAGGGTCTCAGCTCCAGACATCAAGGTCGGAGATCGAGTCTGGCTTGACGCTTCTGACATAGCAACAACACGCCCGTCCCTCAAACTCTCTCACCGACGGCTGGGTCCCTTCAAAGTCACCCAGGTTGTTGGGCACGGCGCTTACAAGCTTGACCTCCCTCGCCGCCTCTCTGGTCTTCACCCGGTCTTCCCCGTTGTCAAGCTGCAGCTCGTTGAGGACGACCCGTTCCCAACACGCCCGGCTCGCGAGGAACCGCCACCCGTCATGGGCCAAGGAGCTGGCGAGGAGTGGGAAGTCGAAGAGGTCCTGGACGCCAAGATGCGCTACCGGAGCATTTGGTACTTCGTGCGGTGGAAGGGCTACGATTCGTCGCACGACCAGTGGGTTAAGCACTCTGATATCTTCGCAGAGGACGCTATAGCGGCATTCTACCGCAAACACCCCAACAAGCCACGCATCATTGCCGCCGCCATCTTCGACTCCCTTCCGTTCCAGCACCCCTCTGCCACCATCCGCACGTTGCGTCGAGGCGCCGCAATCCAAGGGGGGGGGTGATGTCAGGGGAACCCCCGCTTCGGACCGCTCTGCCTTCGATCAGGCATGTGATCGCGCTCGCGTGACCTGTCAGCTGTTACACGCCGCGGCCCGGACTGCCGCGCCAAGCGCTTCTCTCTGATGGGCACATGGTCAGCTGTCCCATTGTTCCCACTGTCTCGGTTTCCTATTGTTCTCCAATGGCCATTGTACTTATTGTTCCCATTGTTCTTTGTTTGTCGCTGCGCGCTCTATTGTTCTTGTATCATATAAATAGTGGCGCCTGGCAAGGAGAATCCCCAACACGGTTTCTCTTTGGATTCTCCCTTGCCAGGTATGCCGGTCTTGTACCTAGCTACCACTATTGACACCTTTGGATTCTCCCTTACCAGAACTCTGAGATCGGGTCTCGAGGTTGCCCTTACAGCAGAAACCGTGTTCCTAGGGATAACTGGTCAAGACAGACAGGCCCTCAAAGAAGATGAGTGACAAGAGATTGGGACCATACGAGATTTTGGAGAAGGTTGGAGCAGCCGCATGGAAGCTGGATTTGCGGGACACGGACCAAAGACACCCGGTGTTCAACGAGTCACTGTTGACACCCTATCACAAACCACCCCCCATCGCCGAGAAAAGAGACCCGTAGCCAAGATGATCGGAGGAGCAGAAGAGTGGGAAGTTGAAGAAATCATGAAGGAACAAAAAGTCGGCCAAGGGAAGCAGTACTTGGTCAAATGGAAGGGATGGCCACACAGCAAAAATACCTGGGAACCATCACAACATCTTACCCACGCAAAGAAGGTCCTGAGAGATTGGCAGAGGAAACAATCCAACCCAGACACACGCATTTGCCTCCTGCCGACGCTCGAAGCTGGACACTGGGATTATCTCATTCATCGCTACAAACCCAAGGATGAGCGCCTTCCATACCCCCAACAACAACTCTTCGACCCTTACAAGAGCGTCTTCATGTCCATTGGCCTAGTCAATGAGGACATCGACCCTAGAGAGGGGGTAATGTCATAGTTCGGCCACTTTTTCATCTTATCACCGACGATCTTATCTTATCTTGGCATGACTTATCTTATCACGGATCACGGCATCAGACGGTCCGGGTTAGGGGTTCTAGGGATTATCTTTATTCAATTCAAGGCTGCGCGACATGTGCTCTGGAAGGTTCTACTACAACCCATGACCAGTGCTCCATGCGGTACATAGTCTTATAACTCATTAGTTGTAGATATGACTCAGACTGGATTTGGGTATAAATACTGTAGCTACTTGGTTGTATTCTCCAGTCTTCGAATTCACTTCTCTTTTCGACTTTGTTTTTGGGTTGATTGTCACAGTAGCAGTGAGAGATACAGTGGTAAGAGGTAGGAGGTAGGAGGGTATAAGGGGAGTCTTGGAATATTGTGAGGATCAACCCAAAAACAAAGTTGAGAAGAAAGGTGAATTCCAAGACTGGAGAATACAACATAATAGCTACAGTATTTATACCCAAGTCCACTCTGAGTCATATCTACAGCTAATGAGTCATAAGACTATGTACTGCATGGAACACTGGTCATGAGTTATAGTAGAACCCTCTGGAGCATATGTCATGTAGCCTTGAATCAATAGAGATAACCCCATAAGTCCCTAACCTAGACCATTGTGATAATCAACCCAAACAAAGTTGATAAGAAGAATGAATTCCAAGACTGGAGAATACATCACAATAGCTACAGTATTTATATCAGTCCCAGTATGAGTCATACCTACATCAAACAAGTCATGAGACTATGTACCATGTGGAGCGTTGGTCTTGGGTTGTAGCAGAACCTTCTGGAGCACACGCCGTGCAGCCTCTGTACAGATAAGACCTCTGGACCCTTAACCTGGACCATGTGGTGCTGTGATCTGTGATAAGATAACCCATGTCAAGATAAGATAAGATGATCAAAGAAATGATGAAAAAGTCATTGAATCATAACAACCATGTGATGCCATGATCTATGAGAAGATAACCCTGTATCAAGATAAGATAATCAGACAAGAATTTTGATGAAAAATGATCAAATCATGACACATATGTGGTCACATATCCAAGAAGCGTAGTGTCACCTAAAATTGAGCACCTTTTTCATTACTCAAGTGTACAGCTTTTGAAAGTTTAAAACAAGAGAACAGAACAGGCAAAATTCAGTGGATCAAATGTATTTGTTAACACATAAGGATCTCTTGATACATCCAACAATTCTATCACATAGGTGAGATATGAAGATCAGCAGGCCGGAGAGCCTTTTCAATGGGAGAGAAGTCAGGTGCAGGGTAATCCTGCAGTGGAAGGGATGTGGAAAAATAGCCATCAGAGATAATCTCCAGGCCTTCAACAGCAGCACCACTCTGATCCATAGCCCAGAGTGACAAGGCTAAGGTATTAGATCCATGGCGTTTGAGAATGCTAAGGGAGCACAGGTATGAGAAATGTGACTAACCCAGAATGGAATAGGTTCTTACCTAGCAGGAAGAACAAAAATGGTTTGTGGACTATGAATTTAATATAAAACTTTTAGCCAAAGATATGTGTAAAGTTCAATTAAATCTCACTTACCCAATGCTATTGATATATTTGCCAACCTGCCAGCCATTGAGGTATATTTGCAGGCGGAAATTGGTGGGTGTTGCTGCACTGCTTTGAAGTATAGACAGGCGTATAGGAGCGTCAACACCATCAGGAACAGGGAAATCAAAGGTGGTGCGGTAGAAATTGACACCAGCCTTCAAGAGACCAGTAAGAGGGGATCCAGACGGCCACAGTTTGTCTGGGAAATCAGGGAGATGAGCTCCAATTCGCTCTGGATAAAGTCCACCCTCATTCAGGTAACCACGGAAGGTGTCTGGTGTACCAGCAGCACCACCTAGGTTTCCTTGAAGAGTCCAATTTGAGAACTTGGTTTCTCCACCAATCAAAACATATCCACGGATACCACGGGGCTCCTTGGCACCATTAGCTATGAAAGGGTTAGTGTTGTAAGCTTCAAATGTACAAGCACATACTGTTTGCTTCAGAGAGGCTAAGATACAATGGGAAATGATGAGGTCAGAGAATATTATCTTGAATAAAAGGTTAATTTACCCCATATGATCTTGAATACTTATATCAGTACTTGTTGAAGATGAGAGACAAGAAAGCTGCTCACCTTGCAGAACAACCAGTACATTGGTCTTTCCAGTTTTGACTGCACCACTGGGAAATACCCAAACATCAGAGGAGGAGCTGACAGTGGCATTTCCTTGACTGGAGCCAAGGAAAATCCCATTCAACCAGGCTGAGTAGCCTCCAGCAAAGCCATACATGACTGTCAGGTTGACTGCAGTTTCTTGACCTGTAGCCTGGAAACGCCCTCGGAAGATAAGGTTTCCACCATAGAATCTATGTGAAATGTTACTTGGTGTTCAAGAGGTAGTATTTGTGAAAATTACCCATATTGTTGAGAGTACAGGACTTGAGATCCAGAAAGTGGTGGCAAGTTTGTATACTGTTCACATGTTGATCAGAAAATGAAACCAAATAAAATTTGAATTTACATTGGTTGTGGTCAAGTTTGCAACAGTGAATGAAGAATCATCAAAGTTGAGATCAATCTCAGGTAGACTAGAATAAAAAAAAATTAGTGATTCAAATAAACTAGAATAATGTAGAGTTGCTCACCCTCCAGAGACTTTCCAATTTCCTAATTCTGGGAGAGACAGAGTCACTGATTTTCCAATTGTGCCAACATGTGATCCATGGGGTGTTTTGATAGTTGATATGACAGCATTGTTCCATTTAAATTGAGAAACAGACTGAGGTGCAACAATCTCAATAGCAGTTGTTCCATTTAGATCACCAGTCTGCAGTTTTTTATTCAGAAAGTGTTGTTTGTGGATGATTAACTTACTAGTGACAATGTTCTCCCATTGATATTGGCAGTGCGCAAAACATAAGGCCCTGACACCAGAAGCCTAGAAGATAACACTGTTAGCTAATAAATTAATATGAAATACAATGGCTCACGTTGAATTAGTTCCAATAGAGAAGTAGTTGCCAAATTTGCCATTCCCAGCAATGAGTGGAGCATGCCATTGGTATGCCAGATCTTTTTGAACAAGAATCACTATAATCTGGGATGTTCCAATGCTGATAGGGATAAAAGCAGTCCCATTTAGTGTATAATCCAAGATGAGAGACCCATTGAGGATCCTTGAGTTTACAGAATGGTTTGGTTGGATAATTTGTGTTGCATGGGAACCAAACATGAATGCAGTTTCCCCAGTCTGGCCTGCTTCAGCATAAAGGATGACATAGTCCTTATTATCAATCCTGTTTCATACATCAGATGAATGATTCAGCCCAATAAGAACAGGCAGTAATCACGTGGCCCAAGTCATAATCCTGGAAATAGCTCAGAATTTGCAACACCAGAGTCTGGAATAGACATACTCAGTAGTTGAATACAATATTGTTGTCTGACTAGCTCCAAAAACATAGTCAGTGACTATAATCTGATAATGTTTGTGTCAGATCAAGTTTCCCTGTCTCAGTGTTGGTTTACCTTGCTGTCACGTCCATTGAAGGTGATGCTTCCAGCTTGAGGAACCAATAAAGCACCAATAGATGTTTGAACTTGAATCCGGGTTGTCACAAGATCAGTGGACCTATAGACTTTAGCATGTGACAATATTTGTCATATAATAACTCACGGGGTGTTGTTCTGCCGAGTAATGTAGAAACCAGCCCCAGTGTCAAGATTTCTCAACTCTGCTGTGTAAATTAAAGATGAGGTGGTGTAATTTGTGCCATTGCCAAGCAGAGTTGCAGCCAAAAGGTCACGTGATACTCTCAGAAAGGCACCTGGATCAGATCCATAAGATAACCAGTATATTCAAATCTAGTCAACAAACACACCTTGAAGCCTCATCTCATTCATTTTCACAAGTGCAATACGGTTTTCATTGATGCCTTTCCAGAACATAAGCTGCAGCAATGGGGATGCAGATGTATAGAAACAACTGACCTCCACCATAGTCATAAGATGTATAGCTGACAGGTGCTGCAGTTTGTCCCCAGTTGGTGCCTCCATACACCACTAGAGGCATTGTAAGTAGAAGACTGACTGGTGAATCACCAATGCTTACTGTAGATATCTGTGGCATAGTGATTATTGCACAGTAAAACAAGCTGGTCGTATAAAAAAAAACATACTCAGAATAGTAGTTGTTTGGGCGCTCGAGATAAATCAGCATGAATATAATCTGTTAGAAAATTAGAACAGCATACATAGCATCCTTATAGAACACATTTTCTAGGATGGAATTAGCAAGTAAGGGGAGTATTTGGTGCAATTGCATACCATAGTCTGCATTGGTCAGGCCAGGACTAATACCTAAAAGATGCACTATTAGACTCCACATTGATTGAATTAAGATATAACACACTGAATTTCTCATAACCAGTTCCTCCAAATGCAGAGGCACCCCAGTTGAGAAGGTATCCACCACCAAACTGTATATTGTACGCAGGCATCAGTGGCAAGCTTCCAAAGCAGGTAGTCAGATACAAAGATGTACCTCAGCTAGACAGAGCGGGTTGGATGGTGCAATAGCTTTGTGGAGTGAGTAATAGACAGATTGAACTTGACTCCATGAATTTGTGCCTTGAGGATATGTGTCACCACTGCCAACCAGAATTAGAAAACTATAGAGCATAGCTGCCCTGCCGAATAGTGCAGACCAGAATATGTTTACAGCTCCCTCTCCACCTGCGTCTGGTGAGAAGTATCTGCAGACAATATTCAGAGAAATCTGCATGAGTTTCGAGATGAAACGTGTTGACCCGTTGGCTCCGCTGTGTTGATCATTGAAGGTGATGGCTTGTACAGATGAGATAGTGGTGATGGAATCAGATTATGCTGCGTACGAATTACAATCCCGTTTGCTCGATAGAGGTCAATGATAGCTTGCATATACGGTGCGTGCGTAGCACCAGCGCTGTATTCATTCTGGAATGTACTGAGTATATCAGACATGTTCGAAGCATGGTGAAGATCGACCTCAGCCTGAACAAGAATGACTGGAAAACACACTGAGTCCCCCTTCGCTGTGACCACAATGAGCTAGCTACTCACTGGGGCCGCCTTCAGTAACTTGATTCCGAGCGATTACTTGCGAGATCGAATTCATGTACGGTACCCAAGTTTGGGTGTAATTCGGATTGTTGGTGCGAAGAGAGCCTAGGTCCGTGAGCAACGTCGACCGCAGACAAAGGTTTGAACCTGACCTGCGATATTTCCGACCCAGCCCGGGAGGCCGCCACCTGTCGCTTCGGCGTCTTTCGTGAGGCATTCATGAGCGCGAATCAAATGCGGAAGTTCAGCAAAGAGACGAAACTGGTGTACGGCCCAGGTCGCGCGATCAGCCACAGACCAGCCTTCTGCGCCTCTTGTATGAACAGCTCCATGTCGCGATAAGTATTTTGCTGAAAGTCGCCTACATCACAGAGCGATGAGTATGTTGATCTACATCCGGCCCTCTCGAAGTCAGAGCAATCTTACCCTGGCCATTGTTCGTATCCGGAGCGGGATAATGCTGACCCCAGTGGACACAGAAGGAGACGGTGTTGAAGCCGTTGGATTTTATTTTGTCGAAGACGTCCGCCCACAGCTCAGGATTCCCGGGCAGGCGCCAGGGATGGAACTCTGCTGAGAGGATGAATACCCGCTGGCCCATGATTGACAGCGAGGAGCCATCCCAAGTGATGACATCGGTAAGGCCAGTGGAGTTGCGCCCCTGTAACGCAGTTGGGTGGCGTACGCCGAAAGCATTGGTCGCAAAGACGAGTAGTGCAAGGACGATGGTAGTGGTCCACATAGTAGTTGGGGGATCTGTCAGTCCCATCTGCGTCACTTACATGGCACCAAGGTCAGACGACTCAAGGAAGGACGCTTCACGATACTGGCGTTCCACAGGTGACAGGGATCATTCACAGAAGTTCTGTCTGGGGGCCATCCATGTCTGTGGAGTGCAGCCGAGTTTCACGCGGTCCGGAGCAATCATCGGTCTCAAGTCGAAGGGAGTGTGTTGAAGAAGAACATTGATTGACAACCACGGGCACGATAACAGAATGAATTTCGCATCGTGTGCATTACTTTTGAAGCGCCATGGAAGTTACTTACCTAGAAGTTTTAGCACTGGAGCGAGAAGTGAGAGGTGTGGTAGTGACATCCTGGTCGAATATCACCTCAGACGCTCTTCCTCCTCCTTTGCCCCTTGTCGTCAAATCTACTTGCCATAAAGACACGAGCCGGGCGGACCCGTTCGGTGCGGAATAGAACGAAGAATGACCTTCTGACCATTGCGGATTTAGTCAGACGACGTGCAATGGGCGAAGTGATGCCACCAGCGACGGACGAGACCGTCAATTCGACTCCGTTCGATCAATACAACTTCGACGTGAGAGTGTGCTTTGAAAAAGACGAGGCAGAGCCCAAGCCTCCCATGAAGACCGGGAGCAAGTTAGATAGAGCGTGGGAATCTGGCACGGGGCATCATTCAGAGAATCTTATCTATAGTTCTCGTCCGCCAGCTGCAGCTTCTTACTTATCGCTAGCGTAAAACATTGGTGTATGTGAAATTTTATGATCTTGTTTGGCTCAGCCAGCTATGAAGGGGCACCCAGTGCCGTTGACTATTGTTAACTACCACGTCTCGGTTTCAAGCAGGTCAAGTCGTCCAGCGACGTTTCCATCATTTGAATACGGGGAGAGCAGTTTCAAAGTGAAGACCCTGTTGGATAGATTAGAAGGCATTCAAACGTCATGACCGAGCTGACGCACCAGAAGCGTGTTATAGCAAGCGTTGAAGGGTTGTAGCACGGGAGCCCACTCGCTCAAGTTCTCGGGTTCGTTAAGCAGTCCGAGAGACAGACAAAACACGGAGTATGACATTAGCGGCACAGCCCACAAGAGGCGGCCTTGAATAGCGAGGAAAGGGAGCCAAAAGATTGTGGCTGCCAATGTGCATGAGAGGGCTGCACCAGGTAAGCTTGAGAAAGCTTACTGTAGGAAAGAATGGAATAAAGCATCAGGTAGATGAAAAGAGTGACATCGATGATTTCGTATCTCCACGAATCCCTGGCCAGATTACGCAGACTGCACACGAGACATGCAGTCATTCGCAATGCCATGAGAACGTAGAGGAGCCACAATGGCTGAGGGTTCCCAGGTAACATGATGGGGGCCACGGCCCAAATGGACAGTAAACCCATCCTGGAAACCCTCGAAGGCCATAATAAAGGGGGCGATAACATGGGAGCAGGAATCCAAGCTGGGGAGCTCCTGTCTTTCAAAATTACCTTGACCGTGATCGGTAGCGACCAGATCGACCACGCGGGTGTCTCCTGTGAACTCAATGTCGGCGGGCGAGTTACGGAACGCAATCCCTGAGCAGTCGATCGATTAGTTTCTACGCTATAGACCCAACGACCCGATCCCCAAATCCCCTCGCTCGCCACCTTCGAACGGATCGCGATGACTGCCGGTTCTCATTCGGTATAGTTGAGAATACACCTGTTTGATCCTCTGCAGCTGAGCATCCAGAGCTGCTGTCTTCGCTGCTAGCGCAAGGAATGTCTCGTTTTGGGCTTGCAACGTCGCTTGAATGGCTGGATTTTCGAGTGAGAATCGACTTCAAGTATCGCACGGTGGAATGTTCCTACCTTGTGGGGAAACCTGCAATTGGCCTGCCGACGAAGAAAGCTTCCTTTCGATTTGCTGGACAGAACGAAGTCAGCAACTGATAGACATCCAAAACCAACCTTACTTCGATCGTGGATTTGTACCAGGCCAGTCGCTCGCGCATTTGGGTGGCTACGCGCGTGAAAAATCTGCTCTCGTCAGTCGCCGGTGGCAATCCATCTTCTTTGAGCACTCACTCTAGCGGAAACCCGGCATGATCTTTCAAGTAGACCGCATTGGCATGCGGATTGCGGAATCCATCCACCAGTCGCGTGGCAACTATCGTGTCCTGCACCGCCTGATCGGTCTTCGCTTTGAGATCACGGGTGACATGGGAGTCGTGGCGGAGGGCAGTGGTCGTGTTCACTAGGTCCTGACGGGACATTTCAGCACACGTCCTGCTGTGTGACCGATCCACTGACCTTGTGGACTGCACGAATCAAATCTTGACCCTTGAGCGCTTCTTCGCCCAGTTTTCGTTGATGCAGATCCTTGCTGATCTGGATCCGGTTCTGGATATGAGACCTGAGTATCAGATTGAGCATCAACACAACGACAGCCCTGCGGAAAGACCGACTCAATATCTTCAAACGTTTTCTTGATCGCGTCCGGAAGGTCATTGAACTTGGTGGACTTCGTGAACGCAGGGGGCCTTGGATAGCGTTATCGAAAATGCGGACGACTCCGAAGCAGGGACTCACTGTTGTTGAACAGGCTGCACCGAACCAAACATGGAGCCTGCGTTGTTGTTGCCCAGCAGAGGGTTCGTAGTGGACCCAAACATGCCTTGTCCTGCAGCGCCATTCGTAGTTGGTTTCCCAAACATGGAATTACCGAAGATACCTCCGGAATTAGCTGGTTGCTGGTTCGGCTGCGATCCAAATATCCCCGTCGCAGGCTGCGTAGACTGGCCAAACAGTCCCGTGGCTGGTTGCGTGCTCTGACCAAAGATATTGCTGCCAGTCGCGGGCTGCGCATTCGTTTGATTGAAGAGGCCACCGGTAGTCGATTGACCGAAAAGTCCCCCACTAGCCGGTTGCTGCTGCTGCTGCTGGGCCCCAAAAAGCCCACCGCCAGTGGCCGGTTGTTGTGGCTGCTGGCTCCCAAACAATCCACCCCCTGCCGCTGGTTGCTGTTGCTGATTCCCAAATAACCCTCCTGCTCCTCCCGCCGCAGGTTGCTGTGGCTGCGCTCCAAACAGCCCACCTCCCGTCGCCGGCTGCTGCTGCTGCTGCGGTTGTGTGCTCCCAAACAGACCGCCAGCTTGTGGCTGCTGCTGCGTAAAAATCGAAGGGTTCTGCGCCTGCCCAAACAATCCACCGGGTTTCTGCTGATTCTGGCCGAATATGTTTGCAGCCGGAGCCGGTTGTTGTTGCTGCTGCTGCTGATTACCAAAAAGACCACCAGAAGCGCCGGATTGACCAAAGGCGCTGCCGGTCGCGTTTTGAGGCTGACCAAACGCGCCGGTTGTCGGCTGCCCGAATGCACCTGTTGGTTGTTGTCCAAACGCGCCGCCCCCTGCAGCTGGTGCTGGCGTCGACTGGCCGAAAATAGAAGAGCCACTGGGTTTCATTCCGAACGCGGATGAACTGGCAACAAATGCGATGAGATACGGCAAAGAGCTTGCAATCCTGAGAGACGCGACGATTTGAGTGCGTACCTAGTAGCGAAAGCCATTATCCACAGTCAACGCGTTCACCTGACGTTCTGGTTTGGAAGGGATTGTAGATTGCTTAGTCAGAGGCAGCCACCTCTTCACGTGCTTAACCCCGCCCGTCAAACGCTTTCCCGCCCGTTTTGGCAATTCCAGCAATGCCGAGGACAAGTAGGCTTACGTAGAACCCGGTATGAGAGAGTTCACATGTATTTGCAGACTTTGTGGCCCAAACTTAGCGATGGTCGCAGACGCCATGCTACAAAATTGCCTATTTGAGCGTAATGTCAGCCCTCCTGGGAAGAACAAGTTCGCCGCCCTCGATGGCCGAGGCTTCGGCGGCCGATCGGGTCATACTTGATGTAGGTCCACATGCGTCCCAATGGCTATTACGGTATGCCCCGGCTAGGAATATTCCTTTTTTCTGTGTACCCCGTCACTCTCCTTGCCTATTCTGAATGTCTGAACAACGCGTATCAGCTTTCTTTCCGATGCCGTCCTCTTCTCTCCGACACTTTCTCTCAAAAGAGAAATAATGAGCATTTTCCGGCTCGGTCACGTGTCGGTGAAGTGGACAGCCACCCAGATTGAGCATGCGTACGAAGAAGAAGCGGTGTGGCACGGTGTGCCCTCCTCACCAGGCTTGTCTAATAATACGATGGGGACCATACGAGTCCCCATCTTTGCCAGCTACCCTCTTGTATGCTTCGTTCGGATCCCCCGTGCTCTCTGACCATTGCACCCCGGTCGGCCCATGGACGGCTTCGTCGAGCGCGTCGCCCTCACCCTCAATGCTATGGATCCGACCACGCCGCCGTCGTACAACGAGGGGATGCCGCGGGTCGCTGGCGCCCTCCCGCCTAATTATAGCCGCTACGCCTCATCCGTCGCCCTCCGCGTCCAGACAGAGCACTACTTCCACCTTCCACCGCGGAGCGTCAAACCGCCTTGGGCGACTCTCAAGCTGATCAGCCGGTCCCAGTCTGCGACGCAACTTCCTATCTTTCTCGAGGGGGACAGGATTGGGGGGCGGTTGACGTTCAACTTGACGCAGCCCGAGAGCATCGTCGCCATCAACGCATACGTGAGTCAGTCAGTCCGGATTGGTTCTATCCTCGGTTATTTTGCCTGCCCCACGTTGTTTTCTGGGCGACCAACGTTGCGATGCAACCTCCCATCCAATCATCTCGAAGATTCTCATCATCCCGGCGCGCGGAGTAACCTTGTTTTAACCACGGGTCTGCAGGTGAAGGGTCAAATCATCCCCGGTCCGACCGACAAGGACACGTTCCCCTTCCTCGAGGTATCAACAACACTTTGGACGAAAGCCGACGGGGACCCGCGCAATCCGGGCGGCCGATTCTCCGGGAAACTAAGCGGGCACCACGAATGGAACTTTTCGATCAACATGCCGAAGGCTGTTACGATCCCCACGACACCATATTTCACCGGCGCAAGCTTTCCGCTGCCCCACACATTCCGCGAACGACGGTTTCCAACCAGCATACAATATCTTCTTGTGGTCGAACTAATACGAGGTCGATTTCGCACGAATTCACGGTGGGTGTGTGCCGGAAGAGATGGGAACACGCGGTCTCATCAGTGCCTAGCATACAAACCGAATTCGCCTACGTCCCGGGGACGCGACCTTCCCCTCCTTCTGCATTACGCCGGCTCGCGTACCAACAAAATACTCCTCTGATTGGACCGGAAATCGACACAGCAGGCTGGAAACAGTTTCCCGCGCTCCATGTGAAGGGGACCATATTCAACAAGCGCCCGGTCGAGATTATCTGCACAGTGAGCCTGTCTTCCCTTCGTTGTGGCAAGACACTCAACTCACCACGTTCAGCTTGCTTTGGCTAAACCAGTGAGTGCTGCAAACAAACAACCCCCTTCCCCGGGACTGATTAGCAGTTATCTTACACACGAGGGTCGCCACTGCCCTGCCTAATGACGTTGGCGTCCACCGACGCTCAAGCTCTGGACCTGTTCGCATCTCCGCAGTCTCTCTCGGTCTACCTTCGACGACGTCTCAAGCCTATAGTCTCCGCGTCGAAGCGAACCGGGATGTTCGACGCCAATGCCGATTTGTCTGCTGATCCTGCCGAGAATATGGCCGTAGCGACGTGGTGGCCAACCTCGCCGAATCCAGAGACCCACATGCCTTCTCGACGTCTCAGTGGGGAGATCTACCTCCCGGCAACGTTGAAACCGACGTCCCGGATAGCCTACTTTGCGGTCGAGGTCGGATCTGCGTTCCGGTAATAAGATGGAAATATACTGACACCGATGCTCAGTACTCTGTCGAGGTTCTCCCGTTTAAGGCGACGACCTTCGTTCCTTCAGCAGACTCCGTCGTCCCCCTGCTCAAGGTCGACATCGAGGTGACTACGATGTTCGCAGCCAACTCAGAACGCCCCCGAGTCTACGCTCCCGTTTCCCACGCGGCCTCGATGCAGCAAGAGCCTACCCGGGACAATTACTTCAACGTTCCCATGGACGAGATGTCCACTGTCTGGCGCACTTGAAGGCGATGTCAAATGCAGGATTCAGACAGAAGGGGCTCAGCTGAAGAGGCCCGACCTGGCGGCAGGCCCGGCCTGACTTTCACTTCGCGTCGCCTCTCTGTGGTATTGAGTCTGTTGTCAGATGATAGAATACACAGGGAGGCATAGGGAAGCATAGAAATGTCGAGTACAGCAGTGATTACATTAAGCAAGACGTGCGCCGAAATATAAGTGCTAATATGTAGATGGGTGGGTACATAAGGATGACTGCAGATCAGAACCACCCGTATTCGGGAGCCGTGAAAGAATGGTTAGTGACCTCCGGCTCGTAGCTCGGAGGCGTGTGGACCCTCGGTTTAGGTCCTTTGGCAAAGATGGTGGCAATTTCCACCTTCTGCCGCACTGGTAGTGTCGTTTTCATTTGATTGTGTACGAATCCTGGCGCTTTGAATGGTAGCATAACCACATGGTACTTCCAAGTTGCTCAGCGCACAGGCTAGACTGTAACACTTCCAACCACCCACCTCGAGGTTGAAATGTGATATGCTGGACGACGGCTTCAACGTCTTTGGTAAGTGGATCTCTCCGTCCAGCCGACACGTCCCTGCATGTGCATCTCCCACGGGCCACCAAACAGCGCGACTGACCTCAAGCACGGAAGAGTCCGACGAAGCCTCTCGTGTCGTGTACTCGGCAACAGCCGGGGCCTTCATGTACTTGAACCGCCGATGCAGATAGACATTCATCACGGCCGGAGTGCAGAGAAGATTCATCGCCTGAGGATCGTCGCAGAAGAAAGTGACAGAGCAAGGGATGACGCTGCCTCGTGTATATGACAACTAGGGGAACGATCGTCGGCCCCCGGGTGCAGTGGGTAAAAGAGACCGCACTCACAGGATTAGCCAGGGAGAGCTTGCAGTGAGGATTCAATATACATTCGAGATGATAAAGTCAAGGCCTACCGAACACTGCATATCGACCTTGCGAGCTCCAAATATCGTACCAGCGACTGTTGCCAACGGAAGGGTATACCATCCGTCAGGATCCAGATCGGGCCCGGGCAAGGGGCCATTCTGGCGGTAGGCTAGCTGTCGAAGACGAGACGGTGGGGACGGCCGTATTGCGGGAACATACACAAACATGGTCTGCAGTCTGGAAAGGCATCAGGATTCAATAACGCAAAGTGCCTCGGTCAAACTACAGACTTGTCATCCCCACGAAACGTGCTGCGTGCAAGATGAACAAAAAGTTCGTAGAATACACTCGCTCGTGAGCTCCGCTCCAAGAACGTCTGGGGTAAGTGGTACGTCTTTGGCGACCCGTGCTTGGCCTGCGGATCTGGAAGTGTGACCTCCTTTGGCAAAGATATCGAGAATGGCCAGTGGTAGTCTCCGTTCAGTTTCCCGCCGGGAAGTGTAGGCGTCTGGACGTTTTCCCTCCGCGGAGTCGAACCGCCCTTGATCCAGAGCGGAGTCGTCAAGTCCAGGAAGCACACCCGGTCCTGCTCATTCGGCCCAGTGACAATCTGACCCCGGATCTTGTCATGGTCAGACGTAAATCAACAGAAAGCAAAATGCTTCGCACCAGGATGCTGACACCGAGAATGTTTTCACTGCTGGACAGACCCAGAGTGACAGATCCTGTTATCTTCTCTCCCTCGAGATAGGTCGGCAAGGCACTCGAGCTGCGCGCGCTGCTCTGAAGCTTCAACGTCGCCCACGGTTTCTTCTTCCTGTCCTTGAGATCCAAGACGTGTTCGGTGGGCGGTCTCACGGAGCCGGCGGTGCGAGGGCGTTCATGGGCTGAGTAAGCCGGAAGCGATGTGACAGAGGCCGCCGAAGAGAAAGGGTCCCCGTACACTGAGGAATGGGACATGGGTCTTGTCAAAAGACGCGGGATGTTCAGGACCGATACACCATCTGCCAGCCTTGACTTGAGGCCTACCCGCCCCGCTCCCTGTTGATCTTGCTTGTCTGCAAGGAGAAACGGTGACAGGCAACTATCGCGATCAAATGATGTCCATTGATAATTCACGCCCGCCACCCGGCCCGCGGGTTTTGGAAAGGGTCCGAATAAAAATAATCCCTCTGCTCATACTCGTCGACAAAAACGTCCTACAGCCACTCCTCTGTCACTCATTCACAGAAACTCCAATCCCTACATAGAGTGATCAGAGGAACTTTCAGCTTGGTGAGACATCGGGCAAGAACCCCATCCGGCGAACGCGAGTTTAATTTAGATGAGTCTAAAACCGCATAGATCTTGTCCACCCCGAGCAAATTGGATGTGATAGTGAGATCTTGTGTGCGCCATGGGAATACACTATATGAATCCCCCGGATGGTACTTGTGCACTGCACTGTTGTCCAATCCTCCAGCATGAATTCGGGGGCCATATTTCCATTGGAACAACTCATATCAATCGAGCCGAGTCTGGACCCGCCAGCCGCTTACGGTTGATCCCGGGAGAGGAGGGAAAAGATTCTGCGGCAGAGAGGAAAATCAAGTGATACAGCGTGTTTACTCTCTAAGCCTTCATCGCTGCTTTCATAGTCTGGGTCGGATGTAAGACGAGAATGGTCAAGAGAAGCAAAGACACGAGCCTTCTCCATTTCATCTACATCATCAGTTTTGATTCGCATGATACTTTGGCCGGTAGCCTCCTCGATTGCAACCATCTGCTCCCAGGTCACCTTGTTGTGTACGAAGTTGATCGAGATGCCCTTGCGGCCAAAGCGTCCTGTGCGACCGATCCGATGGATGTACGTCTCGATATCCGGTCGGTCCTGGTTCCCGCCCGGTCCGCCCCCGCCCGAGTTGCGCTCATACAAAAGGGGAAGATCGTAGTTGACGACCATGTTTACTTGCAGGATATCAATCCCGCGAGCGATGACGTTTGTGGTGATAAGGACCTGGATGAATTCAGTCAAGGTGCCGGATAGCACACAAATGCGGCCTTACCTTCTCCTTTCCCTCTCGGAAGCTATCGATGATGTGGTCCCGCTCCGCAGGATCCTTGGCGCCGTGCAAGGAAGCGACCTTGTGTCCTTCCGAAGTCATGCGCACAGAGATCTTGTCCGCAGTGGCTTTATGCTGTTTACTTATCAGACGATGTGGGCGAACACAGGCTGAGAGAGGGCACCTGGCAGAAGATGATACTTTGGCCAACTGTGAGGAGGTTGTACAGTTGGACCAGAATGTCGTATTTGTGACCTTCATCTTTACAATCCATGTAGAACTGCCGAATATTCGATACGCTCAACTCTTCCCGGCGCAGTTCGATCTTGTTCGAGTTCGGCGCAAACTTGGAAGCGAAGTTGCGCACGTTGTCGGGGAAAGTGGCGGAAAAAAGGATGATTTGAACCGGGTGGTCGCGAGGGAGCAGGCTATAGGGATCAGACTTCAGACCCGGCGAGACCGATCAAGGCGTACTTCTTGACACGCAAAGTTTGGTCGCCCAGTCCATCCTGATCCAGCATATTGTCTGCCTCGTCGAGAACAAACACCTTGACTTGCGAGATGTCAATGATACGCTTCCTGATCAAGTCGTACATCGTCCCTGGTGTACCAACGATTATTTGAGCCGTAATAGCTCCAGAATCGCGCGCGAGATTGTCTTTGATAGCGTATTCTGTTTGCACAGCAGTGAACTTGCCCATCGCATTTACGACAGTCATGATCTGCCGCGCTAATTCACGCGACGGGGCCAAGCAGAGCGCCTGTGTGCATCAGTAAATGTAGTTTGGGCCGTGAAGCGACACACCTGAGGTATCTTCTTCGCAAAATCCACTCGGCTGAGCATCGTCAACACAAATGCCGCCGTTTTACCCGTGCCAGATTGGGACTGTCCGATCATGTTCGTCGGCCTGTACTCAGTAAGGATCGCGCATTGTAAACGGCACGTCCCTCACTCACGGATTAGCTAGTAGCAGCGGCAAAGCTCGCTCTTGGATCTTCGAAGGCTTTGAGAATCCCATATCGTAGATCCCTTTCAAGAGATCTTGATGTCTAGAACACGATTAGCACCCACCCAGTCGCTACAAGGCAGAGGTTATTCACAATCCAAGCTCCTCGAATGTTTTCACACTGAAAAGAGGCGAATTCGGGTCTCCTTGCTGGTCTGCGAGTGTGACCTGGTATCACACGTCAACAACCCGCAAGACATCGCGTCGCGAAGACCTTACAGTGACTTCGAAGGTAGACTTGATCAGATCGTTGGGTGCAGATTCTTCGCGTAGAGGTTGAGCTGGATTGCACAGGGAAAGGGATGCATCCATTACCCCGGGCCTTGTCATCCTCCTTCGGAACGGGCCCACCAGCGGGCTCCGCTGAAAGAGCGCAATCCTTCGTGAGTCCATTGCAACGTGCCAAGACGCGCATAGAACTCAACTCGGATTGTAGAAACCGTCCGCGTCTTTCTGCAGTGCCATCGCTTCCTTGAGAGTCCGTAGTTTGTGTGGTGTGGGCGGAGGCGGTCGTAACGCGATAAAGCGACTGTGATCGTGATAATTGACCCGATCGATGTGTTCGCGGGTCGTGAAGGTGCGTGAAGACCGCGTGCAAAGACTATGAACAGAAGTTTGCAGAGGTTTGAGCAAGAAGAGAGAATGGTGATGATGCGATCGCCGAATTGATCTTCACCTGATCTCCAGTTGAAGATGAGATCTTCCTTTGTATGAAAAGTACATATATTCGTGTCTACCTACAACATGGATAGGACACACTCAGCATGGATAACGTACTGGTTTTCAAGAAACTTGTGGATTGAGCTGTAATCTCATTAACGCATTTGGCTACGTAAATGCAAGGGGACGGACTGAGTGACCGCGCCGGTATTGTTTTTCATCCTACTCGCAATTTGAGCGAATTCGGTGTGCGACTGACCTCATTATTTCTCTGTCATGTGGGAAAATGACCGACCGTAATACACGAGGTTTATAACATACAAAAAAGCCAGAAGAAAGCAAAGACTTAGCGCTCGAGACCCCCGTGTCGGTGACCGTGACGTAGAAGATGAGGATAAGCACTCTCGGTGAAGACTAATGGGACGGACTGGTCTCCCGGAAAACCGCCCAAAACCTGTCCAACTACAGGAAATCCTCCGCTCTGGCCCGTTTCTTGCCTCTGGGTTCGATACTATCGGAAGGCGGTAACGGCCGCGGAACAAAATATTTGGGATGGAAGGCCCGCTTTTCCTCCTGAAAAACGATGAGATAGACACAGGAAGCATATAGAGGCACTTGCTACTGAGAAATTGGGATCACCTCCCACCCCATGCTCGTCCTCGTTGCCAATCAGGACCATGTCCTTCTTCGCAGGAGGGTTGGTCTGCCTTCTCTCAGGGTGGGGCAGTGTCGGTCCAGTCGGTTGCGGATTGGATGCTGGAACGTCAACGGGCTGAGCGCCGCCTTGTGCTGTGGCAGCGGGAACAAACGAAGGCACAGGACGCGGCGGAGTTGGGGTAAAAGACGGTGGCATCATTCCCGGCGGAGTCATTCCCGGCCCAGGTGGCATTAGACCTGGTTGGAAGCCCGGTGGTGGCATCATGCCTGGAGGCAGTATGGCACCGGGTGGGGGCATGCCACCTGGCTGTGGAATCATGCCTGGCGGTAGCATTGCACCTGGAGGAGGCATCACTCCAGGAGGTGCCATGACACCGGGGGGATGCATCGCGCCAGGCGGCGGCATTCCTCCAAACGGCGGCGGCATCATGCCAGGAGGTGGGAACCCACCAGGAGGGAATGGCGGCATGCCCGGTGGAGGAGGACTGCAAGGGTACATCGAATTGAGAGACTATTGCAACTGGAGCACACGCCCACTCACCCTGGGAACCCAGGAAACGGAGGCATGCCCGGCGGTCCCATGGGCATCGGCATCGGGGGCTGTGCATACGTCTGTGGGCCAGCACCGTATACCGCTGGAGCGGGAACAGACGAGGAGGATGCCTCTGCGGAGCCTCCCATCAACCTCTTGTGTTGCTCCAGCAGGTTCTGCAACTCGTCCTCCGGAATAGGCTTATTCTCGATCTAAAATCCGTCAGACAGAGCTTACGCCAAAGATGAGATAAGAATGTTCACTTTGGGTTTCTTGGCCTGGGGAGCACTAATGCTGCCCGCCGTCAGACCCAACTCGATCTCCTTGCGACGCTTATAGTCTGCAACATCTGGGGCAGGAATGCCCTCCATCCCGAAGATTTCAATTTCATATCCGTCTCGGTTTGGAAGAGCGTTTTCGATGCGAGGGAGGCTGATGAACGTCAATGATGAGTAATGAGCAAAGAACGAACGCACTTTTCTGGTTCCAGCTTATGGACCTGTTGGATATGGACCGCCAAGCCCCCAGCAGTGTTCAAGCGTCGGGGACACATACCGCACTTGAAGTGCTTCGCCTTCTGATGCTGCATAAGAACTGTACGAGTGCATGAGCGCCTTGAAAAAAATTACCGACCAAACGAACCTTTCTCATCTTCGAACTCTCTTTCGCAGTACCAGCACCATGGACGAAGAACCTCAACAGAAGTTGGTTGAAGGTCACAAAAGGTTACAAAGCTACTCACATTCTTATTCTTCTTCTTAGCCATCGTATGAGCTGGAGGAGAAGTCAGACGTGACTGTCACGTCTGTGCTGTCACGCTGTCAGGTCTCATGTGCTTCAATCATCTTGTGCAACCCATCTCGGTGAGTCTCTCGAGTGCTTAAAAAGTGCTTATAATACAAGCGTATACTTGGCCACGCTTAAGTTCAATTTGATTGATTTTACAAACTATTCTGGCGACTCTGGCCCAAGTGAATCGATTGATATGCCTCCATAAAGGGTTTTTACCGAAAAGAGGTGTGGACACATTCCGGACTTCAGTTTCACTCCTGAGATCAGTGACATCATTTCTGCAAGGATGTCATTTTCTGCCCGAATCGTCTTTGCGCAACCTTCTTCGTAGTAAGTAGCGATGTGTGCGCGTTCGCCGTGTTCTTTATAGTCACGCAACCGTAGCTCAATAGTACGCTGGTCCATCGTCGCAGAAGGTGGCAGCCCTCGTCACGTTCGGCAGCAGCGGGGAGCAGTCCTGCGTAGGACCTGATGCAGATCGATCATACTATGGAATTGCAGGGATAAGGACGTGGTGCAACAACTCCAGTGCCTCGAAGTCGTATTGCACACTGGGACCCCCCGCTCGGGAATCGACCTTGAAGAGAACATAGCCAGCAGTTCTGAGAAAGACAGCACAGTTCTTTCATCTCTCAAGAAAGGGCATTGAGCGAACTGATCCAGCTATGGCGATATGAGCTTTGGACGGATCATGAAATAGTAGAGTGGGATCACCTCGCATACGCGTGAGCAGGACATCCACCAGATTCCGACCACGAAACGCTCACTCTCTCAGATATGCAGAGGGACGCCGACTCTCGGGCATCCTGTACACACATCGTATTGCAGACATCCGCATGGACGGCACAACCAAGCAGAACTTGCAGCTGCTCCAGCATCTCTGGTGAAGATGCGTTCCCGAATATCTCCGTGGTCACCACAATGTGGGATGAGGTCGGGTTGGAGCTAGCGGAGTCGCGTGAGAGCGAATTGGCAGAGAATGCGTGCTTCTTCAAACAGGTGTTGGACGGCGGCGCAACCATGCAGCGACACCAGTCGATAAACGACCTGGAATCAGCGCAAGCGATCGTGGATGAGCTCGCAGTGAACATCCCTTATGCATTGAAGGTCCAGATTGAGTTGGTGGACGAGCAGAAGAAGTTAGTGGAGACATCCGTGGGTCAGGAGCTCGAGCGAGAGTTGACCGAACAGCTGGCCAAGCACCGAGTGGAGTTGAGCGGATTGCGCAAGGAGATGAAGCGTGCGTGACGAAAAGCAGGAGATTTTCTCCTCATTCATCCATCGACAGAGGCGTTCCGGCAACAGAACGACGAGACGAGACTGGAGCTTGAGATGGAAAGTCACAAGCTGCAGGAGGAAATGGGTCGATCAAGACTGACCCACACTCTTCAGTTTGTACGGGAATTGTAATGCGATCGCTTTCGTCCTCTTTTTGTAGTTATGAAGGAATCTAACAAGTTCCTTCCAGAAGTGCGAGGCGCTAGAGCAATGAACGACAGTGATGTCGAATGGGGGATCTTTCCGGTCAAGAAGAGTCTGAAGAGCCGGGCGACGAATGGTGTCAGGTTGCAGAACAGTGCGGCAACGGCCGGATGCCCTTCAAGTGCAAGTCGAGTGTGTATAGCAGTGATAAGACATGAATGTAAGATAAATGTAAGGATGGATTACGGCGTGAATTACAGAAAACTACTTCGAGGTTGTGCCATTCAGTCGAGTGCTTCGGCGCGTTCCAGTCGACGACTGACTCGCTGGCTTGGATGAGCGGCCCCGCCTCCGGGCGGAGTTGGTTTTCTTGGTCGGTAGATTTGGAGGCACCGGCTCCTCTGGTCCGACCGACGGTTTCCTCTTTTTCGAGCTAGAAGGCCTAGCGTCTGCAGGACCGATGCACCCATCATCCTCGTCTTCAGCTCGTCGCCGCTTCAAAGACGAGTTGTTCGGTCGAGACCGGGATCCGCTCTTCTTGGACCCAGATTTGGACTGGTGCTGAGAAGCATTGTTGACGACGACTTGCTGAAACAGACTGGGTTGTTTCTTCCCGTCCTTCGCACGCAGGGGGGGAGGATGGTATACCAGGGCGCCGTCGTTCTCATGCCAGTTGTAGGTCAATCGATCAAGAGCGACCCGAAAGTCTTTGAGCGTGGCCTCATGTGTCATCAACCGACGAATCATTGTCAGATTATCGCTCTTGTGATCAATTTCCGGTTGCGGCTCCAAGTTTTGCTGGAAAACGTCGCGGCGAATGAAATTGACAATGACATGGAAGCCATTTCTCCCGTCCAGACTGAACTTCGCGGTGTCCGCTATCGTGCCCTTCTTCGTCTCAGGAGCCCGAGAATCAAATAGCTCCGTGCAGGCCCTGTCGCCAGCCGGCAGATGATGCTTGGTGTGTCGAACCCCCATCCAGTATAGAAGCCAGAAAAGGGATTCGAGATCATGATGCGACCCGTGCTTGAAATTTTTACGCTGTCCGAGGCTGTGTTGCATCACTTCGATGGCAAGAAACGGCCAGGTGCCCTGGAGGAACGAGTCAGACCACAGTGGATAAGGAACAAGCGTCGCCCGAACCGTGATGTGCTTCAAACTCTTGTCCACAGAATCATACTGCTCACTGTGCAGTCGCGATCCAAAGTTCTTCTTGAAAGCCTCGAGCCCCTTTTCCGTGAACTCTGCGTAGTCCCAGTCGACAAGGAATCCTCGAGGCGTCTTGAGACCAATCATTTCCGCAAACATGATGTTCCCCTCGCTGACGTCCCGATGCAGCACCCCGGCCTCGAACGCAATGAACAGATCTGCGCGAGAGATCAGTATTGTATTCGTTGCGAAACGAAGAGACTCACGGCATGCCGCATGGTAAACAGCCGTGACCAGAGCCCACGTGCTCGTGAATCGGTCCAGCCGGGTCCCCACCGGCGTCAGGAGCGTCCGGGTATGATAACGGTGAAGCCCGTCTCCAGCCTCCGACGTGGTCTTGTGTCGAGCAGTGTCCCAGTCAGGTCCTGTTCCATCCTTGAAGCGAAAGTCTTTGACCGTATCGGAGAGATCGAGGCTCCCAATGCACCGCGCCATAGCAGACTCGTCGAGCTTGTGTTGCTTGATGAAAGCCTGGCCCTTCTCCGACTTGCGGAAAAGCTCGATCAGATCGTAATAATCGACCTCGGGACGACGGCAGCCCTGCCTCCAGGAGTCCTTCAGCGCGTAGAGCTGCGGACACGGCAGCGGATCGTCGCCACCCAAGCTCTGCTCGTATGCTTCGAGATCCTTGTCGATCATGACGCGGAACACCTTCGTGGCTCGCCCGAACAGCCCATGCGAGTGCCAAAGCGGCTCGCCGATCGTGTGGCATTTGACCGGGACCAGCACCCGTTCCCCATCCACCTCGCCGAAGACGGCGGCAGTCAAACAGAAGCTGCGCCCGACCGCCGTTTCTTCGTCCTTGAATGCAGCGACGTGGTCGCCCTCGGTCTCCAGCGCCGCCCAGATCCGCCTCTTCGTCGCCTTGTCGGTGAACGTGATCGTATCGTCCTCGCCCAGCGTCGCTTGGGGATGGCCCGCGCTGGGGTGGTAGATCCGGTACAGGAACTCGGGCAGATATCTCGGGTTCTCGAGCCAATTGAAAGGCTTGCTTGTAAAGAACCCCTCGGTGTCGAAGCGGAACAGTGTCGCCGTGTCGAATGAGATCGCGACGACGAAGACGAAGCACCGGTCGGAGGACATCATGAGATGCCGTGCATCCTTGGCGAGCTGGACGAGCGCATGCAGGGCACTATCACTTGTCCCCAGCGTCCCGTCGTCCTCGTGAATCCGATCGTGGAATTTGAGCTGCACAGTGACCAGCGTGTTCGACCATTTCCACTCTTGCTCATTGATTTTGAGACCGGGCTTGCCCAGGCTGATATCGGGTCGAGTGACGTGACATTTGTCGACTGAGGTGAAAGTCTTTCTGGCAGTGACGGCAACCTCGGGTCTCTTCGACTCGGAGAACGAAGACACAACGCCGGCCAGATAATCGCGCTAGGAGAGACGGGAGGACACATCAGCATTGTCGAAACAGCACACGAAAGAGATGCAAGCACGCACGATCGGACCCTCCATGTCCGCCTCATAACGTTTCTTCTTCTGCCCCTGTCTGGCGCTGACAAACTTGGGAGACGCGTAAAGCTCCTTCGCTTTCTCCAGTCCAGCCGCACCGGCTTGGACTGCTTTCGTCGTCGCCCGCTTCACCGCAGACTCTTTCGTCGGCCCGCCGGGGCCCATAAGATTGGCCAGAAACTCCTCAACGGGCTCGATGCCATGGTTGTGAGCGCTGTCCTCGACCATCTCCATCCAATCATGGAGGGCGATGGGGGAGTCCTGCTTGTTGAGCTCGGCCGAGTTGTACATCGTGTGGTTCGAGGGAAGACACTTGCGGGGCGTGTGCGAGTTCTTCTCGTTGAAGTTGGCTGCGCGAGTCGCGGCAGGATCGTCGTCGTCCGAGTCGATTTCTACGTCAGACTCCGCGGCTGTTCCGTGGCGCTCGTCGTGGTCACCGGCTTCGAATGAGGCTGGGGAGGCACGTAAATTATCGGCGGCAACTGGTAGAGACATGTTAGTGACAGGAAAGATAGGGAAGATTGGACTCACCGCGCTTTTTATAAGTCCTCCAAAGCGCGCCCGAAAAGGAGGACAATGGTTTGACTGCGAATGAGAGGGGTTTCAGTCACGACTGTGACAGATCGTGTATGTGTGATATGATATCCCCATCAGGACATATCCCATTTGTCGGGTTTATCCACTTGTGTGCGTGGCTTCTTATAACTAGGAGATAGAGGGAGGCTCTACGTCTCTGTCTTACACTCGATGATGGAATTTCGGTCGATTCTGTGCCCTGGGATCGATTCCAGTTTTCGGTCGTGTCAAGTTGAAAGGCTGGGAATGATTCTTTCGACAGATGCACACCATCATGAAAATCCAGCACGGTTCTACGATTTTCTCAAGAAGATTCCTACTGAACTTCGCCTTACCAACATAATATCAAGGACACAATGGCCTTATGGAACCATACTGAAGATAAGGTGCCGGGCCGTGCTTGCAGGCTCTTGTTGTTGTTCTATAGACACACGACACAAACGATAACGGTCCAACGTGTCCGCCTGGGAGGTTTTGTTCTGATTCGCACGGATAGCCTTGCGCTTCTTGAGAACCAGGATTCATTTCCAGAGGATGGCAGATTCACTTATCACACTGTATGTTTGTTGCAGCTTCCATTCTGTTGTCTCTTGTCCTGTCATACAAATCCATCCACTTGTATCATTCCATGAAATATATACCAGTTTTGCACTAAACTTCCGGAGCGCCGCTATATTGTGCCGATCCCGTGACTGTATGTCCCGACAGCGCTGGAGATCGCACCCGCCCTTGGTGGTAAGTTGTCGAACCAATGGACGACGGGAACGTGCTCGGATCATCGGGATTCTGCTCGAAGAGATCAGTGTGTTGCTCGAATATGAGCCTCGCAATTACTCACATAGAGTTTCGCTGCGGGCAACCCTCCAGTGAAAGGCGTGATATGATCGCCAGCATAACTCATGCTCACGGGCGCACTGGTGACAAGCCTGGACGGGGGATCGCTGTGTTTCCGTCGGCGGACAAGAAGAAATGCGACTACGAATATCAAAGCAGCGCCGACGACCCCACCAACGACCCCACCGGCGATTGCACCCGCGTTGGCTTTCTTGCCACCAGAAACAGGTTCAATGGGATGGCTGGAGGGAAGTCCAGAGGGGATGCCGGTAGACGTTGCTTGCCCGCCAGCGGTCGATTCGGGTGCATCTGTCATGGAATGAGCGAATTGAAGCAACGATGATCGTGCTACTTTGCTTACTGAGTTGCGTTTGAGCCGCAGTGGCATTGAATCCATCGAAGATCTGGTCAGTATAAACACGATCTCAATCTGAGCAAAAGAAGCTGCCGCACGGTGACATTTTGATATGCCTGCAGGAACATGATGAGCGGCAGGCCGTGCATAATTCACGTCAACGTACCCAATGGGGGACGGCTGTGTTTGATGGGATGGCCTCGGGGAACCTGCGGCAGAGGGAGTTGAAGCAGGGACGAGTAGGATCGTATAACGCACCGTGAAATGTAGGTTGTGGTGCAGTTCTGGGAAAAGATGGACCATCTGCATACAAGCTGCGTCAATCAAGTCCGGGAAGTCGCCCTTCGACCTACCGCAATACATCGCGGCCTTGGCATCCAGCACACGCACTCAGAACCGAGTACATGACCGAGCTGCAAATGCATTGGTTCGCCTGGGCAACAGTTGGGCCAAGGTATTCTTGACTTGGTCCTAAGGCCGGAACGGTGAACACTGGAAAGAAGCAGGATGCATGAGGATGACCCAGTCTTCTGGAATGACACGCTGCGAGCACGGACATCCATTATCGCATACTCCCCCGAGGTACGCTGCAACCACACACGGACTCTGCAGACGAGAATTGAAAGCCTGGACGAGTCGATCGGAGGAGAGGTGCAATCAGCGCTTGCCACCCGGGAGTCCGATTCAGACCAACGAACCCACTGAAGGGAGGCAGCATTACAGGTAGCATTCGTCGCGACCCCTTGCCCGGAAGCTGCGGCACCGAAAAGCAGGGGAGTCAGGAAAGCGAGAACGGGGAACATGGAGCTGTCGGTCGTGGTGGGTGAGAAAGAGCACAAGGAGAAGCCGAAGTCCAAAACATGACTATCTCCGGCCCAACTCCGTTCCCAGCGCTAAGTGAATTGATGATGTTCTAGGAAAGACGGATGCCACCCACGCTCATGATGGTCTGGAGAAGATGGAAAGTGGCTGTGGCGATAACGATTATCTCCCACTGATTTGTCACCGCCAGTTTAGAATCGTCGATCCTCCATCAGTGTAAGCAACCGTTCTCCAGCGATATGCGGAATGAAATGGACTTCGACGCATTTATGGCATCCTTGGCTGCTGGGGTGGCCTCCATTCGACATGGATGGGGCGAGAAACGCACTTTCACGAAGAATACAGAAGTCTCCTGTTCACGGTGTCACAGGCAGGAAAATTCAACTCTGCGTTTGCAGTCCTGAAGCCATTTTCGACGAGCCATTATGTCAAAGGAATTTCTTCGTTCTAGCTCGTAATCTCAAGAAGCTACGGACACAAGTGGATGGACCCGGCTAATGGGATATGTCCTGATATCATATCACACACACACACACACGATCTGTCACAATCGTGACTGACACGCCTCTCATTTCAAACTATTGTCCTCCGTTTCGGGCGCGCTTTGGAGGACTTATAAAAAGCGCGGTGAGTTCAATCTTCCCTATCTTTCCTGTCACTAACATGTCTCTACCAGTTGCCGCCGATAATTTACGTGCCTCCTCTGCCTCAATCGAAGCCGCCGACCACGACGAGCGTCACGGAACAGCTGCGGAGTCTGACGTAGAAATCGACTCGGACGACGACGATCCCACCGCCAATCGTGCAGTGCGATTCAGAGATGGTCAAGGACAGCGCTCACAACCATGGCACCGAGCCCGTTGAGGAGTTTCTGGCCAAGCGTATGGGCCCGGCGGGCCCACGAAAGAGTCTGCGGTGAAGCGGGCGACGACGAAAGCAGTCCAAGCCGGTGCGGCTGGACTGGAGAAAGCGAAGGAGCTTTACGCGTCTCCCAAGTTTGTCAGCGCCAGACAGGGGCAGAAAAAGGAACGTTCTGAGGCGTACATGGAGGAACGTCTTGAGGCGGACATGGAGGGTCCGATCGTGCGTGCTTGCATCTCTTTCGTGTGTTGTTTCGACAATGCTGATGTATTCTCCCGTCTCTCCTAGCGCGATTATCTGGCCGGTGTTGTGTCTTCGTTCTCCGAGTCAAAGAAACCCGAGGTTGCCGTCACTGCCAGAAAGACTTTCACTTCCGCCGACAAGAGTCACGTCACTCGACCCGACATCAGCCTGGGCAAGCCCGGTCTCAAAATCAATGAGCAAGAGTGGAAATGGTTGAACAAGCTGGCCACTGTGCAGCTCAAATTCCACGATCGGATTCACGAGGACGACGGGACGCTGGGGACGAGTGATAGTGCCCTGCATGCGCTCGTCCAGCTCGCCAAGGATGCACGGCATCTCATGATGTCCTCCGACCGGTGCTTCGTCTTCGTCGTCGCGATCTCATTCGACACGGCGACACTGTTCCGCTTCGACACCGAGGGGTTCTTTACAAGCAAGCCTTTCAATTGGCTCGAGAACCCGAGATATCTGCCCGAGTTCCTGTACCGGATCTACCACCCCAGCGCGGGCCATCCCCAAGCGACACTGGGCGAGGAGGATACGATCACGTTCACCGACAAGGCGACGAAGAGGCGGATCTGGGCGGCGCTGGAGACCGAGGGCGACCACGTCGCTGCATTCAAGGACGAGGAAACGGCGTTCGGGCGCAGCTTGTGTTTGACTGCCGCCGTCTTCGAAGAGGTGGATGGCGAACGGGTGCTGGTCCCGGTCAAATGCCACACGATCGGCGAGCCGCTTTGGCACTCGCATGGGCTGTTCGGGCGAGCCACGAAGGTGTTCCGCGTCATGATCGACAAGGATCTCGAAGCATACGAGCAGAGCTTGGGTGGCGACGATCCGCTGCCGTGTCCGCAGCTCTACGCGCTGAAGGACTCCTGGAGGCAGGGCTGCCGTCGTCCCGAGGTCGATTATTACGATCTGATCGAGCTTTTCCGCAAGTCGGAGAAGGGCCAGGCTTTCATCAAGCAACACAAGCTCGACGAGTCTGCTATGGCGCGGTGCATTGGGAGCCTCGATCTCTCCGATACGGTCAAAGACTTTCGGTTCAAGGATGGAACGGGACCTGACTGGGACACTGCTCGACACAAGACCACGTCGGATGCTGGAGACGGGCTCCACCGTTATCATACCCGGACGCTCCTGACGCCGGTGGGGACCCGGCTGGACCGATTCACGAGCACGTGGGCTCTGGTCACGGCTGTTTACCATGCGGCATGCCGTGAGTCTCTTCGCCTCGCAACGAATACAATACTGACCTCTCGCGCAGATTTGTTCATTGCGTTCGAGGCCGGGGTGCTGCATCGAGACGTTAGCGAGGGGAACATCATGTTTGCGGAAATGATTGGTCTCAAGACGCCTCGAGGATTCCTTGTTGACTGGGACTACGCAGAGTTCACGGAAAAGGGGCTCGAGGCTTTCAAGAAGAACTTTGGATCGCGACTGCACAGTGATCAGTATGATTCTGTGGACAAGAGTTTGAAGCACTTCACGGTTCGGTCGACGCTTGTTCCTTATCCACTGTGGTCTGACTCGTTCCTCCAGGGCACCTGGCCGTTTCTTGCCATCGAAGTGATGGCACACAGCCTCGGAGGGCGTAAAAATTTCAAGCACGAGTCGCATCACGATCTCGAAAGTCTTTTCTGGCTTCTGTACTGGATGGGGTTCGACACACCAAGCATCATCTGCCGGCTGGCGACAGGGCCTGCACGGAGCTATTTGATTCTCGGGCTCCTGAGACGAAGATGGGCACGATAGCAGGCACCGCGAAGTTCAGTCTGGACGAGAGAAATGGCTTCCATGCTATTGTCAATTTCATACGCACGGATGTACTCCAACAATATCCGCCCACCACTTCGGGAGCTGGACACAAGCACGTTTCGGTGATGCTCCCCCGTTGATGGAACACGAAGTCACGCTTAACGACTTCCGAGTTGCTCTGGATCGATTGACCTACGACTGGTCTGTGAACGACGGCGCCCTGGTATACAATCCTTCCGCCCTGCATACGAATGAACCGAAGCAGAAACAGCCAGTCTGTTTCAGGAAGTGGTCGTCGACAATGCTTCTCAGCACCAGTCTAAATTTGGGTCCAGAAGAGCGGATCCTGGTCTCGACGGACGAAGTCGTCTTTGAAGCGGCGACGAGCTGAAGACGAGGATGATGGGGTCCATCGGTCCTACAGACGCTGGGCCTTCTAGCCGAAAAAGAGGAAATCGTCGGTGGAACCAGGGAGCCGGTACCGTTTTGAAAT